TCTAAACATATTGGTTAAAATACACTGTTAATAATCCATTTTTAGCAATGGAATGTTTTACTGTTAGAGTTAGCAAATTATTTGAAATGAATTCAGATTAGAAACCAGCTTTTCAGTTGGAATTATTTGAGATCAATAAAGTAGTAAATACAATAGGGTCAGAATCTATTTTAATAAATGAATCAATTACATTACTAAATATTCATATATATTACAAATGTCCATCAAATAATAAAAAAGTTCATAGTTAAATGAATAAATGTAATAATTGTAGTGGATCTAATAAGATTTATAACTTAAACCATCATTGTCATGGATCAATTAATACAATTAATATCTATGCTAAATACAATGCTTAAATAAATTATAAAGAATTAACCTTAACTACTACTAGTAATAGTATAACTATTGTATAAAAATTAACAAATAAAATTATTACATAAGAAACTATTTTATTTGTAGAATTTTTAGATGTATGAGAGATGATTTAAATAAAAATATAAAATATTAATAATTTGTATTACATCTCTAATTATATTTCTATTCATTATTCAAAGCTATTTACAAGACTATATTGAAATTTAACATATTCTATGACCTTATAATCATCTTAACCTTATTAATAGATTGTAATTCTTTTTATTATTATGTAATGTAACAATATTCAATGTTTACATTCAAGATGTATAAATAATAATGATTATTATCAATATTTAGATTTTAGATTCTAAATGTTCATTATTGTCATTATTTAATTAAAATACTCTTTTCTATCAAATATTAAAGAAAATCTTGTTATCCTTTTGTTTTTTATAATAATTACGTTGACTTTGTTGTTATTTTATACATGTTAATATATTAATTAATCATTAATATATAATGAATAAACAATATTTAGAATAATTTAAAAAATTATTGATGACTCATTATCACTTTATCAAAGATTTGATTCTTATTTTATAATATTTATTTATGAACAATTTCCACAATTATAGAGCTAACAGGATTGCCCTGAAATCTGTAAAATAAAGATCTGCTCAAAAGGTCAATCAATTTAGAGCATCTTTAAAAAGTAAATCTATTTTTACACTTAAGGTAATGAGCCGGTGGATTCGGTTATTTACAATCATTAATATCAAAGAGAAATTAGAATCAAAACAGAACCACAAGAAAGTTTAGTCTCTAAGGCCACATCTTAAAATTAAAGATTTAACTAGTTGCTAAATCAAGTAGATGAAAGGGCCTTATAATTATCCATTCAGATAAAATAAGAAAGATATAAAAAATAACCTAAATTTCCTCCTTTGAAAGGATTTGTTTAACATAAGTATCATATTTCATGTTTATTCAAGCTATATCCTTGAATAATCACTTGATACTCCAACATTCAGAAATAAAAAGGCCCAATTAAGCAAAACATTAGAAATTGAAAATTCATCAACCTTAATGGATTTTTAGCTTAATTCACATTGTTTTCCAACCTTTAATGAATCTAAGGAATAAAGTCCAAATAAAGACAAGAAAATTTTGACTTTTCCCAAATGTATCTTCTTTTGTGATGTAAAAAAAGCACGGAATTTTTTCTAGATTCCAAGCTAAAAATGAATGTAGTCATATAAATTTGTATAAATCATTTGAGAATCCAATTGTTTTTATCCATCATTTATAAATTTAGACAAATACTCAAGAATCCTAGATTTTCCTTATTTGATAAAAGTTTCATCAACTTATTAACTTTCTTTTTTGGATTATTTTATTTTCATTACTATTAAATTAATTGAATTATAAGATATATAATAATCCCTTTCCCCTATTTGTCAGTTGAAAACACCAAATTATCTAGTTCTTAATTTATTTAATTATTTATTTTTAATCACTAAATAACTATTTATAATGCTAATACAATTCCAAAATTTCTGATTTTTTATTATTCATCACATTATTACATTATTAAACACCTAACTACTGATTTTAAGAGATTATCTATCTTTTCATTATTTTTAATAAAATAAAAAATATCTTAACAATATTTAAATATTATATCGTTAAAAATTTAGTTTATTTTATTTCTTAATGATTTTTAAGTCAATCAATATTATAATTAACATTCAATAAACATATAATATTTTTTAATTCTTTTTGAATATTCTAAGATATATAAATAAATTTAGACAATAGATCTTGTATTTTTAATTTATATTTAGTTAAAAAAATATCAAAAGAATTTTTTATTAGATTTTAAATAATCAGAATTTAAGTACTTGGTTTACTTATCCATTGGCTCAATAGTTGTAATGTCAGAAAGACTCTTCTTATTTTTGATTCTTAAAAATTAAAAAAAATCAATAAGTCTGCAAATAACAAATGTTATTGAATATCTTCTTTTATTATTTATGATTAAGATGATAAGTTCTTTTTTTGATAATAATTTAATTATTTTAAGGTTATTTCAATTATAAATTTTTCCTCTTTATTTATATTATTATTATATTAAAGCGGGGATTTTACAAATGAGGTCTATAATAGATCGTATTATGTTAATTGTTTCGTTGAAAACAAAGAAAAGATTTTAAAGAATAATAAATTTTTACATGAATCTTCAATAAAAGAAAATAGTTTATAAAACTCTTTAGAAGTATCTCAAAAGGAACCTGTTGGTTTTTTGGTAAGAATATTTAGAAAATCTAAATCTTAGCCAAAATACAATGGAAAAAAATATTGTTTAGATTTTTAATAGAACATCATCTTATAATTTTAAAAACATCTACAGCAGTTGAAAGAAACAAAATTATTCGTTTAATTTCTCCAGATGACTCAATTATGGACTAGAAATATAATATTGAATGCAATATGAATTTATAAGAATATGAAACAAATGCTATATTTTAATTGAAGAAATTAAAGATTTTCAATTCATATATAAATAAATTTAAAAAAAAGTGATTTTGAGAAATACAAGTTAAATATTGGACTGATTCTAGTAATTAAAGATAATTTAAGTTGTATGGGTCCTAGAAAATTTATGCAGAAAAAAATAATTTACATTATTATTATAATACACAATTTACTAAAAATAATCCAAAAATTATAAATAAATAAAAACCAAAGAATATCATTATTTTCATCTAAAATGTAATCATCTATTTTGAGAAATCAAATAAATTATTTTAGGATTTAATAGAAATTTGATTTTCTTCAAATGAAATTTTATAAATTAAAATCAAAATCCTATCACTATAATAATTCCATTTAATTACTTGTCCTTCTAATATCCAGCCACTTAGTTTACAAAATATTATGAAGTCTTCTCAAATATCTATAAGATCAGTAAATATCTAGAAGACTTTGCTATATAAAGTTAGTAATTAAAAATTTAAGATTGAATAAATATTCAACAATAAATAACATTATTGTATCTCAAACTTAAATCTTTTATTAATTTTAATTTTTAACTTATTTAAGTTATTTTAATCAATTATTTCTTATAAATATAACATTAAAATAGTTAAAATATTAGATACTTAAAGGTTTAAGTTTATAATACTATTCCTATCTTATTTTTTGAAATTTATATTATTTATATCTATATACCATAATTAAATTTAGTTTTTATATATATATTATTTATTTAGGTTTTTAAGAATTCCAATTTCTCCTTAAATTATAAAAATTTGGAAAAAATGGATTAAAAAAATAAGTAATATAAGACAATAAAATTCATTGAAGTCACATATGAAATGTTAAATGTAAAATTATAATATATTTCACAAGCAAAAAGAGAACAGTGACATTATAAGATGGGATGAAGATGGAATGAGAATTCAAATACTTGATAGAGAACTATTATAAGAATTAGTTCTACCTAAATATTTTAGGCATGCTAATTACTCTAGCTTCTTGAGGTTAAAGAATACTTTTCATATTTTTAGATAACTTAATATGTATGGATTTAAAAGTAGTAAGGATCAATATGGATCCATAACATATTATCACCCAAGTTTTGCAAAATAAAAAGTTCTAATGAGAAATATATATAAAAAGAAACATCAATAAGAAGATAAAAATGATACTAATAGTTTTTTTATTGATTAATCTGAGTTACATAATTAAATCAAAGCATTGTAATGTGAATAAGTAAAGATATAACAAAAGCTTTTGTCCTCAATTGAATATTAAATTAAAATTAAACATAGCATTAAACTATTTCTTCAAGTAAAATTATACAAAATAAATTTTAAGACTTAGCTTTCTTTAGCATAAGAAGGTGAAAAAAATTGTAGATTATTTATTGAAAGTATTAGGTATTTAGTAAAAGGAATGAATTGTGAGTCATGTAATTATTATTTAAATATATTATTTAGAAAATACTTTTGAATTATTATTAAAATAATTGTTTCCATAATTTGTTTAAGAATATCCGTAATAAATTTAAGTTATAAATGAGATGGAAGAATAAAGCATTCAATATTTATTTTCACCTACTCCTTTTGGAAGAATTGATTTTGATTAAGAAAATATCTCATTTACTTAAACCTCATTAGAATTGGAAAGAGAGTTTTCAGGCTTTGGATTTGAACTCTGATTATTATTTAAATAAATTATCCAATAGATTTTCCTTATATATCACTTATCTTTATTCTAATTTAATATTATATATTTTATATTAATTCTAAATTCATAGAAAAATCATTGCATTAAAATATTTTTAATCATACCATATAAAGTTAATTTATGTACTTAGATATTAAATTAGTATGTATATTTATTTAAATAATTAGCATATTATTGTATAATCTAAATAGTTTCTATAGATGCGATTTTAAAATATATATTTAATAATCAACAATAATAAAGTCTTAATAATAAATAGATAACTTTAAAGAAAGTTCTTTTAATCTAATATTATTAAATTTCTCATACTTTAATATAAATAATTTAATTATCATCTCTATCAACAGTATGTTTTAGAAATTAATTTATTAAATAGATAATTAATTTAAATGATTTCTTCATCTAAAGAAGCAAATACATATAATAATTCACCTAAAATTAAAAAATGGATAATACTATTCAGTTTCTGTTTAAATTCGTATAAATTTGTTTATAAATTAGCATATCAAGCGTATTTTTATTTAATGCGTTTTCTCCTATTTGGTCACAAGTTGCTATATATTATAGAACTGATGATTATAACTTAAATTGGTTTTCAAATTGTTACTTTTTATTACCAATAGTTTTGACATTAGTTTTAAATCCAATAATCTTAAAATACTATGGAGGATCATAAATTATCAGTTGTATTACTACATCTTTAGGATTATGGATAATATATATTGCACAAAGAAATTATAATATAGGATTGCTAGGATTTATTTTTATTGGACTTGGTTAATCCTTATACTTTCATGTTCCATTACGTATAAAATGATTTATATTAGATTTATCTAAACTATGGTTTGAGCCTGATGAAAGAATAGTATCAACATTTATTGGTTAATACTCTAGTAATTTTGGTTTATTATTAGGTTATCTAGTATCAGCAATATATTTTTACAATGAAGTATAGATAATTTTAATACTTAGACAGATTAAAATTAATTTAATAAAAGATTTCCAAATATTATATTTTTTAATGCTATCCTTTCGACTATGTCAATCCCTTTAAGTATAATTACTCTTTAAAATCCTCATAATATGAAAAATAAAATATTATTAAGAGATAGTATTTGGAAATCAATTAAAATAGTTTGTTCAAAACAAGAAAGTTTATTTGACATATTAGCAGTTTCAACATGTAATTATGAAATATATTATTAGTTATTGGCTATGGTTGGTGTTATCCTACTCTATTTAGTGTTTAATAATTAATGATAGGATAAACTAGTTTAGATATAATAATTAATAGCATTAATTTTCAAATAGGTTAAATTGTAGCTGCATTTTTTAGTACCTATCAATTACAAAAATAGGCAAGATAAGGTTTACAATTAGGTTATGATAAGTTGATTAAATAGATTATAGGTTCAGGATTTCTATTTTTGGTTATAGAAATATTAGTTTTTGAAAATCTACCTTACTTTATTTTGGTAGGTTCTAATTTCGTAATAGGAGCAGGATTAGGTGGATTGTATTCAGTGCTATTAGAATCATTAATGGAGAAACATTATCCAGTTCAAGAATTAGCTATATCATCATTACTAGAAATTGGAGCATGCGTATTTATTAATATATATTAGAGGCATTTGCTTTAGTTATTACAATGATATTAGTAATACCAGAATTTCTGTAATTTGGATTTTAAATATATTCATTCATAATGATACTGCCATTTTGTTATATCTTTATCTTTTATACTACTAAGTTCAAACGATTTGAATATGAAGGATGAATTAAAAAATTATATAATAATATAAATTAACTTTAATGAAGAATAAAAATATCATTGATTAATCATAAATTATTGTTGTTTTATGTTAATTAACCATTATTTAATAAAAAAGTCAAATAATTTACACATATTTAAAATATAATTCTTATTAATTATTATTATTTAATATGATTATTATTTTATTATAATTCTAAATATTATAATAAATTATTTATTTAGTTAATATATAAATATGGCAAGTCTTAATCATATATGAAATCTGATATATGAGATTTGATCAATATAATAAAATTAATTATATTTACATTTAAGAATAAAATATCAAAAAAATTCATAAATTCCACTATTTCTTAATGTTAATTCTGGATCAGTTTATAGGAAATCTTTAAACTTCAATATATTTTGTAATTCTTATATTTCAGATTCATCTAATTGTTACCCTTATTTAATCTAAAATATAAATAAATATTACTTGATTTAAGGCTTTAGAAAGTTTTGCTTATGTTTATTATGCAAATATAGCTAATTTATTATAATTGGAAGCAAGATTTTCATGTATTAAGACTACTTCTTTCATTTTAGCCTGTAGATCAGTTTATTTTTATTATTTTTATTTTTGTTATTATTATTATACAGGTTAAACAGTTTATTTTTATGGTTATTCTTCATCATTTTGTTATGAAGGTGAAAATGTAGCTATTTATCTTTATTATGGTTGTTATTATAGTCTTTATGATTATAATTCATAACAATAAATAAGTAAATCAAATGGTCTTACACTAAGTAATTAATTAATAATATAAATTTACTTATTTTTAAGAATTTTATCTTTTGATTTTTCATCAGCTTCATCTCGAATTCTATTTCCAATAAGACTGATGGCAGAATTATCCATTTATTTAGAAACAACAGAAACCCATTAATCTATAATAATTATTTAGAATATATACCAAAATTTAATGGTTTAACTTTAGTTTCTCTTTCATTAATAAAGTTGGCATAAATATATTTTCTTAATTTGAGGTAAAATGAGAATTGATCAGAACTTGCTTTGACTAATTCAGTAGGACTCAACATTATAGTAAAATAACATATCTCTTGATTTCCTTTGAGTAATAATTAAAATGAATTGATAAATGAAGTCATAAACTTCTTAACATTTTTTTATTAGAATTCCTTAAATGAGATTAATGTGATACTGCATATTTAGATAAAGCAATAATGAAACTATCTTCACTATATTGACCTTTGACTTGTATCATTAATTGAAGAGTGGCCAAAACATATTCAATAAGAGTTGGAGCAATGAATTTGTATTTATCCTATATGTATTGAAGATATTTACATCAAATTGGATTGATAATTATAATGTTTCAATAGTTTGTTTCCAATGGTCAAGAGTTTCAGCCTTATAATCAAAAATGTTTTGAGACTTGTCACCTTTACTCATATTAACAAAAATAAATTTTCATTATTATTCATTATTCTTTTATGCATTTAATTCTTCCATCAAAGGTCCATTTTCATCAAAGAATTTAGCAAAGATCTCTACTTCTCCAATTAATTTTTCATTATCAAGCATCAATAGATCCTTAAATATATAATAATAAATTATTACTTTTTCTTTCTATAATTATTCTGAACAAGCTTTAAATATCTATATAACTTCATTCATTTTAGATATTTATTATTATTCTATATCTGTAGCTTTTTTAACTCTATCTAATAAAGTATCAACTTTTAAAGTTTTCTCATCTAATTTTTTTTGTTCTTCTTCCGCTATTTTAATTTCAGTTTTCAAATTCTTTTCTAAATTCTCTAATTCATTTTACATATTATCAACATCAATTTCTCCATTATCTTGACCTATTTCATTCATGAATTATTGAGCCTATTATACTACATATATTATATATTATACATCTATTTTCTAAGGATGAAATTTATTATTCATATTTCTTTTTGGCTTATATCATTTTATCTTAATAATATTTAGTCAATTGAGATTCTTTGTCTTTCAATTCTTATAATTATTTTTTCTTTTATTATATTATTTCCATTTGATTATGATCTTCAGGTTATTAAGTTGATCTAATTTGGAATGAAATTGTTGTTCTATAATGATTATCATTCTTATCTTAATGAATATTTTCATCACATTTGAAACATATATGTATATTACATTCTTTGCATAATACAATTGCAATAAATTTGAAACAGGATTAGCATTTTGGATTATTCATATGAATTTAATAATTAATTTGTTCAAATTTAATAATGTAAGTCATACAAGAAATGATTGAAGAATTTAATACTTTAAGATAATAAGTATATGAAGCTGAATTTAGAATTTAATCATTCATAGATGATGAATAAATGAGTATAAAGTAATAAAAAAATTAAGTGGATGAAAACTAATCAAAAATTTAGAAATAAAATGTCAAAATTCAAAATGATTAATTAAACAAAATTACTTTAGCTTTAACAAATTCATTGACTAGAGTAATTAAGGATCTTTATTATGATGAAGATAAAGATTTAATTATTATTAAATTATAAGAACATGGAATTGTAATTGAATTAGAAATGAAGTAAAATTAATTAAAAAGAATTAAACTTTAATAAGTAGGCAGAAGAGATTATACATTAATAGATTCAGAACATTTAAATATAGAAGAAATGCATTTAAAATTCTTAGAAAGACCTGATTAACCATTTAGTTCTATTATCATTCCTTATCTTGAGAATTTGAAATTAATTTGATTATAATAATTACATAAAATCTAATTTACTATAATTAAATGATATTATATTCATATCATTTAATCAATTCAAAATAATATATATAATATTACTATATAATTTAAAAACATATAAAATTCTTTCTAGATTATTTTACTTATAATATATATAATAGATAACTATTATAATCATACTCTAAATTATATAACTAATAATAAATATGAAGTAAAACAAGTCTTGGTATATTTTTATGTTTATTTATTAATTTTTAAATAAATTAAAATGAATACCTAGCCAGATTAAGAACGTCTTAATACATAAGCAAATTAACCATAAGAACCTATCTAAAATAAGTCACCTTTTTTAGATTTAGAATCTTCAGGTGATTCTTTAGAAGATGGAAGAGTGACTAATCTATATTTTCAACGGTATTGATTTAGTTAAAATCAATTCAGTTTTAGGATGATGGATTTAAGTTTTTTTGTTTTTAATTTAATTGGGACTGGATTAACAGTGATTGCTTTAGAATTAATTCATTATGATTAATAAAAGGAAGCACGATTAGTAATTTTGTGGGTGATTTTCATATCAAATTTAATTTTAATGGGTTTGGCTGTAGTTAGAAATCAAGCAAAGATTAAATGGAGAGAGAGTAAAGGAGATGTGTATAGTGGATTTACAAAAGAACATGTAGAGTTATTAATGGAAATTATAATAATTGTTGCATCTCCTTTACCTTTTTTAGATGATATTAGTTTTTATTTTACTAATGATTTTGTTGATGGAGATGTAAGGTATATATAATAGACAGGTATATTATTATGCAAATGAATTACTATGTTTGACTTTAGCATTTCGTGTAATATTTTTTATTCGTACAACCTTATTGAATTCATATTGGCATTCTAATAGAACTGATAGAGTATGTAGTTTATATGCTAGTTAAGCTGATTATATGTTCACCATCAAATCTTTAATGAGGTAATTATAAATCAAATAATAGAAATTAGCCATTTACTGTAAATTATAGTGCTATGATACTACTTATATTTGTATTTGGTTATTGTTTAAGAATATGTGAAAGTCCATTAAATAGAATAGATATTAGTAGTAATGATTTTAGTAGTTATGCTAATTCTATGTGGTGTGTTATAGTTACAAGCACTACTGTATTTAATATTTATTAAATTATAGTTAGGATATGGTGATTATTATACAAGAACATTATTAGGACGTATAGTAATGAGTGTAGTTTGTATATTGGGTAATTTTGTAGTATCATCTATGATTGTTATCATTACAAATGAATCATATTTAACTACATTAGAAAATAAAGTTGTTATTCTAATTGATCGTTTGAGTTTGAAAAAACAAATGTAATAAGAAGCAGCTATGATTATTACTATATTTGGTCGTATGCATTATGCAAAAAGGTATTTAATTTATTATTATTATTTATTTTATAGACATCTTGATTTATCTGAAGAAGAATTTACAGATATGAGTAAGAAAATGAAAAAATATGCAATTTAATTAAAATTAACTACTCGTAAATATGTTGCAGCAAGAGCTTTAGGTAGTTAATTAGAAGAAATAAATAGTGGATTTAATTCACTTAAAGAAAATCTCAAATAAACATCTTAGTTGTAGGAAGAATTAATTAAAGCAAATGAAAATCTTATTTATAAGATAGATAATAAATGAATTAATAATACTTTTTATTATAAAAAAATAAATGAAAAAATTCTTTTCAAAATTATTGTGTCAATGTAATAGTGATGATCATCATCCTAATGATCATGATAAATAATAGATTTCAGATACTAATGGGAGTTCAGTAATTGTACAAAATCATTATTTATAAACTTCAAATCTTTAAAGAAATTCAAGTTTATAGATATTACTTTCTTAAATTTCTCATAATGAATTTGATTATCAAACTAACTTATCACAAAAACATTTATTTATTTGCAAAAAAACTTAGAAATAATTCACTTATCCAGAAGATGACTATAAAATTAACCATAAGAATATTTTTGATTTATATTATTAGAAAACAATCAAATATGATTTAAATTATAGATATATAGCACCTCATTAACTTTGTAAATATATAGCAAAAAGATGTATTGAAACTGATTATATGCTTGAAATTAATTCATAATTTAATTAGCATTCTATATAAGTAGATTGTTTTACTATCTTTTTAGTTTGCAAATGCCGGAATATTTATTACTGCTATTGAGACAAACTCTAAAAATGCCATTTAAGGTTTATAGAATGTTATATAATATGATTTATAAAATAAGATTGATATAATCAATGGGGAATTCACATAATTGGGAGGAACATTTGAATTAAATGATGGTATTTTTGTTAACTTATGCAATTATGAGAAAGTTAAATAAGGTGATCAATTAAAAAAAACTATTTAGAAATGTTTCGCTAGTAATCCTAATATTATTATTATAACAAATCAAAAAAAGACAAATTTTTTATATAATTCATTAGAAGATTTTGTATATTTCGAAAAATAAAATATTATTATAAATGATATACATATATTTACTATTTATTATTTTGGAAAATATTGTAATATTCAATAATCAGAATTAATTGATGAAATATAGAATATATTTCCTATTAATACTTATTAATAATATGATTTAAGTGCTTCTATAAGAAATATCTTGATTGAATTGTTTCAAACTGTTAATTTTCAAAAAATACTTTCTGTACTTTTAATAACTTTAAATTAAATTAATGATAAATCAGAAATATTAAATGTCTTTCTAAAAGAATTGGAAAAACAAAAGATTTTTTCCCAAGAGAGATTAAAACAAGTAATAATAAAATCTATTTAGATTCATATTTAAGGAGCAACTTCACCAAGTACAATTAAATATCATAATCATCCAAGTTCAGTAAACAGAATAATTAAAGGTAAATAAATAATATGTAAATATTATTAGAAGCTTCAGTATCGTAGTCTTAAAGCTAAGCATCTTTTAATATATTGCTACCTTCTTAATTAAGAAATTCAGGATACAGTTCATTCGATTAATAAATATAATCTGCAAAATTTAAGGATGAATGATATACTAATATAAATTTAAATCATGATTTTTTGAATGTTCCAGATAATTATACTGATCCCATTCTTTTAAATTATTATGCTAATTTATTTTTTTATATTTATGCCAATTATTCTTAAGAATTTTATTTTTACAAAGATGTTAAAGATTAATTTTAACTTATTGATGCCTAATAATATTAAATGATATACATACATAAGATTATGATAAGGGTGTTAAACTAAATTTATTATTCTATGAATTTGATTTTTCTAAAGTTTCTTAAATTTTAGTAGTTTTCTTTTTTAAATTTCTTTTTGTTTATTGATATCCTATTGGAACTGGGATATTTTAAAGTGAATTACCACTATGAAATATTCTAAAAATAATTCCATTATTTAACTTGTGGGTTTGAGACTTTAAGAACTTTATAAAGTATTTGGTTTAATAACAGTTTATCTAATTCAACTGGCTCTGCTGCTTATCCTTCATTTCCAGTAGGTTATATTTCCATTCCAATTATTTTATTGTCATCTAACATTTGATTATATTTAATAACATCATCTTCATCAAATTCAATGACATTCTTTTAAATGTATTCTATCAAAGTTTCAAAAGATTAACGATAAAATAAATTGACTAGAATATTAATTAAATTAATGGAATTTTTTTGATAAATTTATCTCTTTTTTTATCTGAAAGCTAAATAAATTAATTAAAACTCATTCATAGCTTAACATAATGATGTTTTAATAACTTTTTTCAATACTTTCGATAATATTTTTCTTTCATTAGGTATAGTACATTCACTAAAAAGTGTAGAAGGAATCTTATTATTTTTATCAGAGTTTAAAAAGTATTCTTAAGATAAATTTATATTAGATGCCTCTTCCTCATCATAGAAATAAAGAATTTCATCCATTTTTATAAATTTTATTTAATAAATATCACTATAAATTTAGATATATCAATCATGACTCTATAATTTCCAAATTTTGGCTTCTAATTACTTTTACTTATTATCTATTTTCTCTCTATTAACTCCATTTGATCTGAATTCATACTGATTTTTATGAGTTCTTTTATAATCTCTCTAAATTTATTCAAAATCTTTAATTTTAAATTAACTTTAAATGTTTAAATACATAAAACATTTCTCCATATGATATTAATTATATTTTCTAAAATTTGCATCATTATAATTTCATCTAGGATAGCTATAGTTAAAAATTATATCTAAAAAAGCTACTAATTTTTTATTTCTTTCACTTATATTACATTATATAATCTTGATTCAGATAATGATTATTGAATAGGGACAGGTAAAATAATAAACTTAAGTCATTAATCATAAAAACATTATTATTTACTAGTAAATATCTATATAAATTTGTTTTTGTTTTATTTTTACGATGCTAAATAAGAATTCTGAAAATAATATTCATCAAATATAATTTTTATATTCAAAATGTAACCAAACAGAATTTCAAATTTTAAATATTGTTTTTTCTTACTCCATAACTATTTTTGAATTAATTATATAAACTATTTTGAGAATAAAATAAATTTGAAAATGGTTAAGTAAATTTGTAATTATTTTATTACTGATTAATGCAATAACATAAAGTTATTTTTGGTAACAAGCAAATTCTCTATTCAACTACACAAACTTACTTTTAAGGCACTAGATATAAATTATTTTTGACTACAGAATGCAATTATGTAGTCAAAATTTATGATGCTGGATAAGAGAAGGTATTTAATTATATTCTAATTTTTATAGTATTTGAATACCGAATTATAAGCTGTTCGTCTCTTTAAGGATAATGAGTTTGTTAACATTGCAAAATAATATGAAGGAGAATTATAAACAAATAAAAAAGTAATAGTTTTTGAAAAAGCTGAAGTCCTTCAAAATATTTTGAAGGATTCTTAATAAGGTTTAGCAGAACCTCAAGTCCTAAAAGTAAGCAGAAAAATAAGCGTAGATCTTATTAGATTTAAGCAAAGCATTATAGCACTGTCATTCATTAGGCATAACACATCGAGATATTAGACCAGAAAATATTTTAATTGGATTAGATAAACAAGCAAAATTATGGAATTTTTAACGTTGTTTTTTCTAAGTATTTGATATTCTAATTAGTAATATGATCAAATACCAAATGAATATTTGGGAAGAATCAAAGAAGAAATTGAAATGAACACGTTTGAACATGTAAGAGCTCCAGAATAAAAAGATTTATCTTAAAGATTGCCAATCACAACTAAAGTGGATATATATGCTTTAGGACAATTAATGTATTATATGATATTTAAAGTTCGATATGATTAAAATCCTAATTGGGAAGGAAAGTATAAATTTATTTATATAAGTGTTTAATGGGGTGTATATAGTTAGAAATTATAAAATCTAATAAAATAATTACTTATCATTAATCCAAAGGATAGAATATCAGCTGAATAAATAGAATAATATATTAATACAATAATATTTTAATATAAGTAAGTGTTAATATACATATTAAATAGTGGAATTTAATAATAGATTCATATAAGAAGTTAATCAACAAATGAAATAGTGAATAGAGAGACAATTAAATAAAATTAAGAATAAGATAAGTGTCATTCATTTGAATTTAAAGATTTATAATAGCCATAATCTTCATTATCAACAAGATTAGTTAAATTAGTAAGTAAAGTTGCTTAAAAGACAGATTTTTGGGTTGCTGCATGTTTAGAAGAAGTTGATGCAGCACCTTGTTAAAAATATTTTAGATATTTACATTGTAAAGCATGGTAAAAGAAATAAAAAATTCCTAAATTTTATGAGAAAGTATCAAATAGACTCTAATTAAATTCTGTAATAATAACATTTAAAGCTTTGCAATTAATACATAATTATATAAAGAAAGGTCCTTAAGAAACTATTCTTGTATAAAATTAAACATTTTCTCCAAATACTATATTAGAAAGAATTAAGAATTTCTAAGAATAAAATTAAATGAAAAACTCTAAAGATAAATTTAGGACATAATTTTTTACAAATTTATTATATTCTTATTCAATCATTTTATTAGAAAAAGTTAAATTTCATACATTTTACCTTAAATTTTTTGAAGGAAATTATTCTATAATTCCATTCTTCAATAATATGAATGGAATATAAAAATAAAGATTAAGTGTAGCAATATTAAATAATATGATGAATTTATGGAAACAATTATTAAATTTCACTTCCAATATATAATTTCAAGAATAAAATTTAATTAATTTATAATTAGGTCTAGCTATAACTATGGCAGATGAATTATACAATATTCTATCTACTTTTACTCATATCTTTTATGCTTTAAAATAAAGTACTAATTATATTAGTGGATAGCCAACTAATAATAATGAAGTTAAATAAGCCTTTCTTACATTATAAGATGATTATTAGAATAACTTTTAATAGACTATTAATTTCTTTGCTACCTGTAAAAGAATACCATAATTTTAATAATTAATACCAGATCCTTCTAAGAATGCAATTGAAACCTTGAAAAAAATACCATTATTTTAATCTACCAGAGGAGAATTTAATATTAATGATTTCTTAAGTTATTCAATGTCAATAGATGGAATTAAATTACCATAAAGTTATGGAGAAATAATGACTAATTAAGTAATAGAATATGATGAAGAAATAATTGAATTGGAATCTAAATATTCAAAATCTAATTCATATCCTATAAAAGCAGTAATATCTTGTTAAGTATAATAAGATAAATCAAATTAATTTAATTTTGATTTTGAAGCAATTAATAAAATTAATAACAATAATAATTCTTAATAAAATTTAGATGATTAAATTAATAATAAAATCATTGAAAATTAAAGAGAATCTATTAATAATAAAAATTTAGAATTAAAGAAAAAATCATCAAAATAATAATAACAAGGAGAATATAAAGGATTAGATTTCTCTGATGATGATGATGATTATGATGATAATATTATGAATAATTAATAAAATGAAGATGATGATTTAGAATAATTACCAAAAAAACCTATTGAATTATAACAAACTAAAATAAGAGCACCTTTATCAAATTAAAATGTTTAATTAACTAAAGAATTGTTAAATGATGAAGGATTTTTAAATTGGAGATCTAAATAAAATAATTAAATTAAGTCAAATGGATAAAATTATAGAATTTAATCAGCTAATACATAATCAAATAATATTTTTGATTAATTTAATATCAATTAAAATTAAAAATCTTTAGTCTTTGATAAAATTGAATAACCATAATAAAATACTTTTTAAGTAGTTGATTATTTTTAAAAACAAGGCAAAAGTATAAATTTATTTTATAACATATAGATGTTTCTGACTGGATGATTAATCATGATTAATTAAAATTAGAAACACTAATTGGAACAGGAAGTAGTTGTACTGTTTATAAAGGATATTGGAAAGGAGGAGAAGTTGCTATTAAAAAAATGAAAATTAAATCATTAAATGAAAATCATTTAAAAGAATTTAGAAGAGAAATTTCAGCTTTAGTGACTATAAAACGGCATCAAAATTTAGTATAGCTTTTAGGAATCTCGTAAAAAGAAGATGAATTATATATTGTAACAGAATACTGTGCTGGAGGAACACTTTTTGATTTATTACATAAAAAAAAACATTTAGATATAAATTGGTAATTAAGAGTAAAAATGGCAATACAAATAGCAGATGGAATGCTTCATTTACATAAATTAAATCCTCCATTAGTACATAGAGATCTTAAAAGTTTAAAGTAATTATATCTATTATATTTTTAATAGTATATTACTTGAATATATCTATGATTAGAATAGAATAAATATTAAGATTGCTGATTTTGGATTGGCTAGGGTATAAGCAGATAATGGTGAATAAATGACCGGTTTCTTAGGAACTTTTGTATATTATGTATTTTACAATAGCATTGGATGGCTCCAGAAGTGTTTTAAAATATTCCTTATACAATAAAAGCTGATGTCTATTCATATGCAGTAAATTAAACAATTCTATGAAATTTAGATAGTTTTATGGGAAATATGTTGTAGAGAAACTCCATATAAATAATTATCTACTAATCCACCTGCTATAATGAAATTAGTTGCAGTAGATAATGGAAGACCTGATCTTAATTTAATTTAGACTGGATGTCCTACTTTTATAAAAGAGTTGATGATTAAATGTTGGGATAAAGATCCTGTGAAAAGACCATCCTTTTAAGAAATATTATAATATCTAAGAGGATTTTAATGATTTGTCAATTTGTGATATGTAAATGATTTAACTTTTTAATTCTGTGAATATCAAATAAGACTGACGATATATAAATATCTAGTCATAATTTAATTAATTGATTAATTTTACATATATGCAAATTATTAAGGTCTTCAATAAATCTTATGATGCACCATCTGGAATACTTAGTTCCAGATTCATTACTAAAAAAGGAAGGAAAATTACTCTAATCCTATCTGATTCCAAACTATATCGAATTGTAAACTTTAAAAAAATTATTTAAGTCTGACAAAGGTGTAAAAATGGCTTTTCTAAGTAGTCATTTACGTTTTCAAATTAAATCTAACAAATAATAGAATTACATTATTCTAGAAACAGACTTTTTACCTAAACCTATAGAATATTAATTCATTGAATAACCAGGGATGTGGGAAATCTTTCTAAAATAGAAATTACCACTAATGGATTACTAAAAATATTATGAAATTGAAAAATTAATTGGTAGTGGTAGTTTTGCTAGTGTTTACATTGGAAAATCAAAGGCTGATGGTACTAAAGTAGCTATTAAAGCATTCCTTAAAAAAATGCTCATGTTATAAGATCCAACTTAATGGAGAGTAATAATTTAATTAATGGTAGGAATAAATAGACAATGAAGTTAAAGTTATGAAATATATGAATCATTAAAATGTATTGAAATTGTATGATGTTTTTGAAAACAAAGCTCAAATTTACTTAATCACTGAATTATGTAGAGGTGGCAATTTGGATTAAGCTATTAAAAAATTAGAAGAACCATTACCATTTTTAACTGTGAAGGTGATTTTTAGATAAATTGTAGAAGGAATCAAATATATGCATGATATAGGTATAAAAATTTAAGAATTATAGGATTAATGCATAGAGACATTAAACCAGCGAATATTCTTTTTAGAAAACCTATCTCCCTTAAATAGTTTGGCTTATAAGCTTAAGATGGCCCATTAATAAGCGATTTTGGTGTTTCTTCCACAATTTAAAAATAACTTAATGTTTACTAATTTTGTGGGTCATATGGATATATGGCACCAGAAATATTTGTTTGTGAAGAGGATAAGTCTAAATCATATAATGAGAAATGTGATGTTTTCAGTTTAGGTTGCTTACTTTATGAATTGTAAAATAAATTAATTTAATTAGAACTACTACCAAACCACTCTTTTCAGGCAATAATTTAAAGTAATCAAATAAAGAATGTAATATCAATATGAATAAATTATTGGAAGATTGTTTCGGAAATCGATAATGTAAATCATATGATATATCTAAATAGTAATAAATCTTTTAATGAAAATGTTGAATCCCAATCCTGATTAACGAATCTCTTGTTCGGAAGTGTTGAATCATCCAGTTATGCAAGTTGAATATGATGATTAAGGATGTCCATTATTTAAGGATTATAAGAAGCCTGTTGCCTTATCAATTCAAAAGCAAAGGTTATCTTTAAAATCCAAAAGTAATGCTATTTTGCCTTAAACATCCAGGAGAAATGAAACTCAATCATTCAAAAGATTATCCTAAGTACTACCACCCATAAAAAGATTAAGCACAGAAGTGCATAATTGATGATGGAATATTTTATAAGTACTTCCTTATCAATATTCATTGTTATTTCCCTCCCATATAGCAATCTTTATTTCAAAGTTGTTATTTTTTTAATAGAAAGATCTTTGATAATTTTAATATTGATATTAAATAAGTATTATATTTCATTTGTATTATTATTGCTTCTAGATTCTTTAAGATTTTATATCATTAAGAAATGCATCCATTTACTATTATTAGTTTTACCAAGTATTTGGGTAAGACACAGTTTGCTATTATAAGTATATTGGTTGTTCTTAAAACTATTATTATTAAACTCCGTAATTCTGAAATTGTTGATTATTATTTGGAACTACCCCAACTTAATTACCAAAAGGTTGGCCCAATTATTAAGCATTATTTACTACAGATTATCCTTAAGAAAAAGGGGAAAATGGAATTTATTAAGTTGGAATTGATGCATGATTTTTTTGTTATGTAATATATTGTTATTTATTTAAACCTCTAAAGGGATCCTATTGAGTAACAGGATTCAATCGATAGTCAAATTGATCCGATGGTCTCTTAAAAGGATCTTAAATTTCTCCTCTTGATTATTGTCTTTAAGGCATAGAGGGTATTTAAGGTGGTAAAATTTACTATTAAGGAAATACTTAGTATTGATCTTAATAATCTAATTTATTTGCAGAACTTGAGCGAACAACAGGGGGTTTTTAGTATTAAGGTTATTGTTTGAGTTAATTTTCTTGTTTAGGTATTTGCTACCTCTATAATTCAGGAGGAAAATTATTATTTGCTAATTATTCAAATTAATCATAATATCTAATATTGAATTTTAGAATACCTTTATTCATATGATTTCATTAAAGTCATAAAATCTTCTTTTCTATCATATTTTTTAAGTTCATCAACAAAATCATCTACTCTTAACGGATGAGTCATATATAAATATTAATTATATTAATATAAAAAATTTGTAATTATTTATAATAATAATAATGTGTGTAATGATTTAATAAAAATACTAAATTTGATTCTCCCTGAAGGCAACCTCTATTAGAATTCTTGTATATTCGATAAACTATTAATAATTTTTTTTTGAATTTGAATCAATATTAGAACAAATATTGTATCTTAATTGTGAAATTTTATTGAATAAATTAATAAATATACTAATAAGATAAATATTATCAATTTTTAAATCAAATAGCATTTGCTTTTGATTATTTTATTCTTTGAGAATATACTTTGTTCTATTACTCTAATTCCATCTTTTCAAATAAGTACCTATTTGATTTTGTTATATGTGGAAAATTGCCAATCAAATTTTCTGAATCAATCAATTTTGATAGTATTGATTATCTTAAAATATTATTATTGTTATATTCATCTAGATTTAATTATTCTTTAAAACTACTTAAAACCTCACTTGATTTTTATTTTAGGAATAATTGAAGATTTTTTTAATAATAAATAATTTTTCTCACAAAATCTTAATCAATTGAAGGTATTTAATCTTTAATCAAGATTGCAGCTTAATAATCTGAATCTTTGAGTTTATGCCTAATAATTGAAGGATTAAATTCACCCAGTTATTCTTAAAATTCTAATGGTAATTCACCAGCTCCGTAAACACGATAATAAATATCATATTTAGTAGGTTTATAAAATTTATAATTTTAAAAGAAATTTTCATCAATTTTAAATTGATAATGTAATTAAGGGAATTCTTACTTAGGCTTGAACAATACATGAAATATTTTATAATCAAGTCCTGTAATTCTTAATAGGTTTAATGATAATTAGTTTTCATTACTATATAATTAGATAGCTACATCTAAATCTTGAATAAATTAATCTATTATTAAGGATAAATTTGGATATTGATGAGTACATTAATTAATAATCGTTTAAATATTGGTTCCATCTTTAATTTTAGCAATTGCATGTGTACTAAAATGAAATAGAGAAATACCATTATAAAAGAAGTTACAAATGATTTCTTTATTCTTCCTTTGATTTTCTTGGATTTTATGACTTAAAATGAAGTGATGTAGTCTAAAATGATTAATCCTTAAAAAGATCTGAGTATTTGTATTGGATATTTGATGATGTTTTATTTTTCAATAATTCAATATAATCCTCTATTTATAATGATGTCTCAGTAATTTATATTTTTCTTTTATGTAAAGGAGCTCTACGTTCTGTATTCTACTTTTATGAGATTTTTTCAGATATCTACTTTTGTTCAAAAAGCTTATGAGAATTATTGGTATGAAAACGTATATGTCTAGGTGTTTCTAAATTATTAATTACAGGAGATCGAGGTGAATGTAAAGTTTAATTAGGTTTGCGATGATTGATTATTAGATTTGAATTAGAAATTGATTATTTAGTATACTTTTGATTTTCTTTGAGTGTTAGGCATTTAGAAAAGAAATCAAAGTTTGATGTAAGAATATTACGATAGTAGAATTTTCTTTTATTGGATGGTTCCTTTGAGAATAGCATTTATGGAAAATAAAATTATTATCAATAAGTATCATGAATTGAAATAAAACTGATAATGAAAGAAAAAGTTCTAATAATTTTATTATAAATTATGGAAGGTTATTTAAAGAAATGGGTGAATTTCATGTATTAATGGCAAAATCGTTATTTTATTTTGCATGAAGACTCCTTAATATATTGTTAATCAAAAGGGACACCAAAAAAAGGTTTAAAAATTATTTAATGATTTAGGTTAAGTTCATTTAAGCATTTGTTCAATAAGATCTGTACCTAAGGATCCATAGAGAATTGTTATAAATTATGGAATGAGCGAAATGCATTTGAGAGCATCTTCAGTTCAAGAGAAATAAAAGTGGTTAGATGCTCTTTTGAATGCTCAATAAAGAGTATAATATAATCGTTATTTAGTTTACTTCAAAATCTTAAAACAAATTGCTTGTATAAAGAAAGAAGAATCCTTTTTATTTCATAGAAGGAGCTCCAGAATTAGACTTAAAACGAATCCATACTACTTTGACATAATTTTGGGTTATGCAAGCACAATTGGAAGAGTAGATTTCTCTAAACAATACTTAGAGAATTAGTTAATTGATATAAGAATTGAAAGTAAATGACTTAGCAATTTTAGCACACAACCACAGCTTGTGCATAAGAATTAGATGAGGAATATAACAAGTTGATTGAAATCAGTAAAAAACTTTAGGAAAAATTAAGAGAAACAAATGATCAAAATCCTCCTGATCATGATGATCTTTACGAAGAAGAATTTGTACCTACTGAATAATTTATGAGTTTCAAAATGGATGAAGATGAATTTTATTCTATAAACAATGAACTCTATGATGATAGACAATTAGTAAGGAGATTATCTTCTAAGAAAATGTCAGTAGCAGGAGTATCACCATTATTTCATGTACTTGAATAATTAAGAATTCCTTAACCGATTAAATATAAAAATCTCATCAATAATGAGGCATTTAAAGATATGATTATAGGGATTGATGAAACTAGAGAATAATTACCTGCATTTAAGGATCCAAATGAAAGCATTAAATTTGTTTCTTTATTAAAAGATATGATAGGAAAGGATCTAACTAAAATTGCTTTCCCAGTAACATTCAATGAACCTTTGTCAATGCTTTAAAATTTATGTGAAAATTTAGAGTATTCAGAAATCTTAGATTAAGCAGATTCATTTTCAAATAGTTGTGAAAGATTAGCTTATGTCATGGTTTTTGCTGCATCTGGATTATCGGCAACTATAAACAGAGTCAAAAAACCATTTAATCCTATTTTAGGAGAAACATTTGAATTTGCTTGTTCTAAATTCAAATATATTTCAGAATAAGTCTCACATCATCCTCCTATATCAGTTGGTTATGCAGAAAACGAACATTTTGAATTTTTGTCGGATAATAATGTGACTACATCATTCTGGGGTAAATCAATTACTGTAACACCCTTGGGTTGGGTAAATATTAAACTAAAGAAAAATTAAGATCAAATAGCATTTTAAAGATGCAAATCTTCATTTAAAAACTTAATTATGGGTCCATAATATCTAGATCATTATGGAGAAATGAAATTTAAGAATGAAGTAACTGGAGATACTGGAATTCTTAAATTAATAGAAGGATCCTCTGAAGCATCATATGAATTAAAAGGCTTTGTTAAAGACAAATTAGGAACTTAATATTGTACCATATAAGGTAAATGGAATTCTGAAATAAGTATTACTGTTGCTGGCACAATGAAAGTTGTATGGGTTCGAAATGCATTACCTTAAAAAAGCGATTAGTAATACTATTTCACTCGATTCGCTTTATAATTAAACCATTTAAATAGATAACTTTTAAAAACCTTACCACCAACAGATTCAAGATTAAGACCTGATTAGAGAGCTTTAGAAAATAGTAATATTGATTTTGCAGCAATTGAAAAAACAAGATTAGAATAAAAGTAAAGATTAGCCAGAAAGGAATTGCATGAGCAGAAAAAAGATCATTCTCCAAAATGGTTTATATAGAGAAATGGAAAATATTCATTTGGTTAAGAATATTGGAAAGCTAAGGAAACACCAGAATTCTAAACATAAGCATTTGACATTTTTTGAATTTTAACATATAATTTAATTATAAAAGAAAATTTTAATATGTCAACCTCTGAGCTTAGTTAACAACAATAATTAAGAAAACAGTAATTTGAAGCATACTTAAATAAACAGGCAGACAAATTAAAGAATCTAAAGGATAGAAGATAAGAATTTAAACTTCAAACTAAAGACCCTAAAGAATTATAATTACATGTTCAAAAAGAATTTAGACAACTTTATGACAGTAAAATTCTTATAGTAAAAAGATATTTTAACCCCAATTAACTAAAAGACTATCAAAACAGAAGAACAAATTCAACAAGTAATTGATGAATTTCAAGTTTTGTTTTAATATTATGTGGACATCAATTATGCTTTAATTGCATATGATAAATAACAATATAAAGAAGTAAAATCTTAATCTATTCAAAGTAATTAGACTAATTAGAATGTACAATATTCACCCTAAGGTCCTAAATAATTCCTAGATAAAAATTTCGATTTTCTAAGCCATTTCCAAAAGGAATTCCATAATAAAGCAAAATTTAAGAGGAAAAGTTAAGTGTGTTGGAAAATGATTCAATTGTTATAACCTAAGACAATTATTAGGAGTCAATAACTTTAGAAAACGGGTCTCTTTTGTTGAAAAACTTAGAAAATACTACTTTTAGTGTTGAAGGATCATTAGATACATTTTATTTGCATAATCTTAAGAATCTAAAAGTCAAATTTGGAGATGTTAAAGGAAGTGTATGGGTTGATAAATGCTAAAATTGTGAATTCTAAGGAAGTATGCATTAATTGAGAATTCATGACACTGTAGATTGTGCATTTATAATCTATGTCACATCCAATCCTATCATAGAGAGGTGCTCTAAATTATCCTTTTCAAGATTAGGAAACAAAGATTTCAATTTGTTTGATTAGGTTCAAGATTTTAATTGGTTAAAATAAGAGAAGTCACCAAACTTTACCATTGTTTGAATAATAGAGATATATAAATTAATGTGTTGAAATAGAATGATATTGACTTCTTGCTTTCTTTTTCATTCTTTATTGATTTCATTTCCAATTCATTTTTTTAAACTGTTACTAACTCCAATCCAAAAATGTTAAAAATATAATAATCACTATTAAATTGTATTTTTTTTATAAGCATTTAAGATTATAATAATTGTTTCCATATATTGATAACAATTTGTAACCAAATTTTAATTACAAATTGATTGATTTATAATCTTGATACTATTCATTATATTAATGTAAAATTAATATCTATTAACTTTAACAATAGATTATTCACTATACAGAGTAATAAAATAGTAAAATTAAATATTTTAATAACTTTTGTAACATATGAAAATGCTTTTAATTTTATTCTATCAATATTAATAATCAATTTCATTGATTGAATTAAATTATGAAATAAAAATGCAAGATTATATAATTTAATCAGTGTAGACTTTTTTTATATTTATTCATTAATATATAGTAAATATTATTACATTAAACTAAATATATTTTTTTACAATTTTGTATAGCTATGAATATATTTATAAATACATTTAAATCAATTCATTTTAATTAAACATGCTAATATGTATAATTATGAATATTTTAATAAATACATATAAATCAATTTATTTTAATTCTTTAATATAATATCAAAATTATTAAATTTATTATTATTATTATTATTATTATTACTCATCCGTTTTAGGAACCCATATGATATGAATTATATTGCATAATCATATATAATTTGGCCTTAATGATTACTCTGACCTAATTTATCGATAAAATTATAACTTCTATCTCCTGAAATAATATCAGTGAGAATTGATTTAACTATTTATAATGTATTTGGTTTAATAGAACTTACATTCCATTAATTTATTAGGTTCAAAATTCTCAACTCCAATATATTAATTTATCTCTATATTAGCTGATCTCGAATTATAAAATGTATTCTTGAATAATGAATTTTTAATGCCTTGTCATTTTTGTATTCTTATCAACATATACTTTTCAACATAAAGTGCCACTGATTTTAGGCTATCTCCCATTTTTAATTTTCTTATAATCTGCCTATTCTTTTAATATTTATTACTAATCTTAAAATTATTATTTATCTTTTTTCTCACTTTTATATTCTTTTACAATTATTGCCTTCTCCTATTATTCTCTTATCTTTTCTCAATTTAAGTAGCCTTTTTTAGACTTTATGTTACTCTTTGATTTCGAATTAATTAGTAAATAATTAAATTCTTCTATCTTATTTAATTATTTTTATTCTTTCTCCCAATATATTCAGATTAATTAATCATTTTCCTCCTTTAATTTTTGTTACTTTAGGTGATCTATACTTATTTTTTTGCCTGTTTTATGTGTATATTTAATATTCAACTTGTTTTTTTATTGTAAAAGAAGTCAAAAAACCCATATGAATATAAATCAAGTGCAAAGGTAAACGCATTCTGATTCCAAAGTTTAAGAATTATGATATGAATATTCAGTTGAATAGAAAGAGAAGAATTTCTTTTATCAATTAGATATTATTTTAACCTAAAGTATTTTAGATGTGAAGGTTGAAAATAAAAAAGTTAAATTGTTAATATGGTTTATCAATTTATTTTATTAAAATATAAAAATCCTTAAATTCACGAATAGGTATAAATATAGTCACATTTATACTCCAGTTACAAATAATAATTCATTTTTTATATGAATCAATTTATTTATCTTTACATATTTATATAATCCCTAGATCCTTTATGAAATTCGTCTCTGTTTAATGTGACTTATTAATCTTTCTTTAAAAATCATTTTAATTTTTTCAAATAATTATGAATGAAGTACTGCGTAAGAGCTTCATTTTCTGACTACTAATTCTATAATATCTACTATA